AGCTGACTGCAATGACGCCAATGGTGGTGAAGACAACAACTCCCATGATCCCACACTGCTTCACCACCTCATCACACTTTATCTGTTGTTAGAGACGTCCTAGTGATAGAAGTTACAAAATAACAAAAGAATCTAAGTAAATTAACTTCTAATTTGCTTTATGTTTCCTGAAGTTGGCCTGTACAGAAGATCATGGCGGCAGCAGAGTCCAGCCCTCTGACCACTCACGTGCTGAACACCGGAGACGGCGTCCCGGCAGCCAGGATGGCGCTCAGTCTGCACCGACTCGACTCCAATCTGATGATCTGGAACATGCTGAGTGTCGGGTAGAGATTGAAACTGCAGACAATTTTATTTTTGTTTTCTTTGTTTTATATGTTAAACATTTTTTTAAAGCTTCTGTATGTAACTTTAATTAAACTGTAGCTAACAACTGAGCTGTTTAATAATTTATCTAATTTTTAGGACTACAAATGAAGATGGCCGCTGTCCAGGACTCGTCAGCCGACGAGCTTTCACCGTCGGCATGTACAAGCTGCGCTTTGAGACGGGTTCATACTGGGAGACTTTGGGTCAGACCTCCTTCTACCCGTATGTAGAGGTGAGCTTCAGTGTTCAATATACTGTATTGATCTGTATCAGGACACACAACATGTTTTAGTTCCCAAACTTTTTCCTTAACGAACCCTTTTCTATCGTTTATTAAACTGACTCAGTGACATATTTTATGTATATTTCATATTATATTAAAAACTGTACAATGAATCTAAACAGTGAACTCAGTTACTGCAAAAAGTTTGTGTAAAACAAGAGATTTGGCAGAAATTTTAGCAGATTATTTCCTGTTTAGGGAACTTTTTATACAATTCACTGACTGTATTATGTATATTTATAATTTTTTAACAATCATACAGACTTAATAAGCTTATTTCTTGACAAATTCAGTGTTTTCTTGTCCCTAATGTTTGGTCATTGTTCTATTAGACAATTTATTTCGTTAAATTTGATCACAGAAGTGAACCAGAAGCTGAGATATAAAACTACTGTGTATGTTTTTTAAGTTTTATTACATGCCTTAAAATAAAGAAGGCTTCGCGACCCCCTGTGAAGTCTTTATTCTTTTTTCCTTCCTCAGGTTGGGAACTGCTGCTTTAAATAATTAAACTGATGGTCTCTGTATTTAGACAAATGGTGACAGGATTACAGTCAAAGACAACTCATACGTCTGCTACTAATGAATAAAATGTATATTATTAACTCTGCTTAATGGAGGAATAGTTACTTTTATAGTTATAAATGATAAATTATTGCAAACAAATCCTGTAAAAAGACTAATTGTTCTTACTGAAGATGTAAATCTTCAGTAAAAACGGCTCAGTAATTTCCTGAACAGAGGGACGCTGCAGCGTTCAGCGTACGTCAGCAGTTGTAATCCTGTCGGCGTCCTTCTGCCTCACTTCAGCTGCTCGTTGTTGTGACCGGCGACGACCACAAGGCGTCACCACAGTCCTCAGCATGAACACTGAGGAGGGTTTAAATGGAGAACTTGAAGTAAATATGCTGGTTGAGATCAGTTTAGACAACAGTAATGTGTATTATTATAATAATAACATTGGACATTTTATTTAGAACCAAAACCGAAGACAAATTGTTGTTATCACAGAAACCAAAGTTATTATAATCTGGTTTGTAATAAACTTTAAGTTGCTGACTCGTCCTGTTTCTGTCCTGTGTGTGTGTGTGTGTGTGTGTGTGTGTGTTTCCAGGTGGTGTTTACCATCAGTGAGCCTGATCAGAGAGTCCACCTCCCTCTGCTGATGAGTCGGTTCTCGTACAGCAGCTACAGAGGAAGCTGAGCTGGATCTTACATCAGTTCCTCAGGGATTCCCATTGTGATGTTTTTAGGAATTTATTTGGACTCTAAATACTTAATTATAGAATACAATGTGTTTATACAAACATATATAAATGTACATTTGGTGTGAGGAGCATTTTAATCGTCATGATAATTAATGTAACTACAGACTTAATTACACAAACAACATTTAAAGCTTCACTTTGTTCCACTAAAGTTGTTTTAACCCTTAAATTCATATTTAACATTTATGTCTTTAACTGATGTTTCTTGTTATTTCTCAAAACACTTCAAATTAAACTACTGTTTCAGAATAAAATCTTAATTTACACAAGGATTCAAACTTCAGATTGATCTGTTACTGATTGAAACTGATAGTGGAAGTTTTATAGGAGCTGAAATGATTGAAATTATTTATTTATATATCTATTAATCATCATTTGAGACATTGTGGAACATTTGTCTGTTTCAGCTTCTTCGCTTTAAAGATTTGCTGCTTTTTCTTTCTTATATGATATTAAATTAAACATCTACTGAGGGTTTTGGACTGTTGATCAGACTAAAAGAGGGACTTTGAAGATGTTTGATGGATATTTTTCACCACTTTATGAGATTTAATTAACCAAAATCCATAAAATAATTGGCAGATTAATCAACATAATAGCTGTTAGTTTACAGTTTACACAGAGAAAAACATACTTCTGAAGCAAAAATATTTACTTTTTCATTCTTTATTTTCATTTTACTAATCCTGTATTTACTTTTATGTCTTTTCACGAACTCTAACATGTATTTTAAACATTGTATTACCGTGTTCAGGTGTTAAACTACGGAAGCATATTGCATTCACCTGAAAAAAAAAAAAAACTGTTTTTTCTGAGTAATTTTTTTTTTGGTTCGTTTTTTTGAATATCTTTTTCTGACTAATTCTTTTTTTTTCTGTTTTTCGGAGTAATCTTTTTTTCTGAATTATGGAGATACTTTGAACTCCTGTGAGAACCTCCAACCTGCAGTGAACTCCCAATGGACCGAGATGTGAACTCCCTGCCCCGCACATACATGCCCCATCTTCAACTATCTACCTCAGGTGTCTGCCGTAGAGTCGACCAAACTAATATAATACGCATACTATATGAAAACTTTAAAGACAGGACTGTCTCCCCGAGTGTCTGAAAAAAAACCCAGATCCGAAAGGAAAACCTGTACTTGAACTAAAGCAAGCCTGCTCATGTTTGTCTTCTGTTAAATTGAGTTCGTTCATAAAGGAAATGAATGCGTCCCTATTGTTTCAAATGTTCTAACCCTAAAAAGAAAATACTCCGAACAAAACAGGACCACCAAAAATTATGTAAGTAAAATCTGAAAAAAATTTTACTATGAAG